ACCTCGAGACATGAGCTATTTTAGTGACATTGATGGGTCTTGCCCTCCATGGACCCTGCAGTAGGATTACCTAATTAGGTAATACGTTCCTAATTAACTTATCTGTGTGATTAACCTATAACTCTTGAATAGGGGTGATGGTTGACTCCGTGGTTTACTTCATCCAGGACTTCGGCTATTTTTTGGTCGATCAGGTGTCAGCTACCTGGTGGGTTGTGTCAACCTAACTCACCCTCTTCGGCTTATTAGCCTCCAATTTCTCTGGTGGCCTAAATGCCATTCTCGAGATGATCCGTTCGGCCGTGCTTATCGGCCGCACATGCCGAAAGGTGTGGCCGAATAGTCTTACCTGTACACTTTCCCCCTAGCCTAGGAGAGAGGAAAGCTCTCTTCAAGGGTAAGTATGGTCGTGGGTGGTCACATCGCTTTGCACTTAGTGGAGTTAGTTGAGACTGGGTGGTTGAGTCGAAGGGTTGCAAGATCTGAGCCGTTGGATCTTGAAGATCTAACGGTTAAGATTTTGGAGTTTTATTTTTCCCGCCTCTTTTCTTGGCTATATATATAGCCATGGGTGGTAGAGCCCTCCACGCGTTACTTTCAGCCAAGCCGTATTGTCCGAGTGAGTCTAAGGCCGAGCCGAGTGTGCCAAACGATTGGGTTGTTTGTGTTTCAAAGTCTTATTTATAGTAAGTGTTTAGTATTATGGCTGAGATTCTCTAAAGTTCTTCGGCCGGTAGCTCTCGACTATCGTCATCCAGGGGGTCTTCGTCCAGTGACTCGAGCCGCTCTAGCGTGAAAGTATTGTCCCCAGTTCAAGCCGAAAGACCTGACGGAAGCGTAAATACTTCCGATGAGACCTCCACCAGCGAGAGTCCCGAGGTCTAGCCCAAATCTAGGCGTGTTTCGAATCAGCAAAGGTATGAGCCATCCTAAGTGCCTGATTATGAATGGGTAAATGGGGAGGTGATGTCGTATTATTCTCACTACCGAGACACGTCGATGATTACTAACCTCTTGGAATATACCAAGTGCCTTACTTTTGATGCCTCGGAAGAGC